AAGAGTGACTTTTGGTAACAAAACATGTTGCAATGATAAACCAAACCTAAGTATTTTAACTGTTCAGGAATACAAGCATAGCGAGCACAACAAAAAAGATTACTACAAGAGTCTGGGACACGTAACATTTTCTGATAACCAGGTGTGCTAACTAAACACTCCAGTGATACACTGCCACTGAAGGTCTCTTTTATTATTCCAGAGCAGCAAAACATCTTTAAAAGGTCCCAAGACAAAAGGTTTCTAAAATGTGAAATGCACTATGCTGAATAACCTATAGTGTACAAAATATTTACTCAGTAAAGAGTGTATGGGGGTTCATTACACTATTCTCTCCCCTTTTGCACAGGTTTAAAACTTTTCATCATAAATATTTGAAAAGAATAAAAGAAAATTGGAAGTCGCACTCATTGTATTTACTTTCTTAAAGTAAAATTTGGGAAAAATTATTGTATAATATACTTTAGTTGGGGGAAAAAATTAGACTTACCAAATTTTTTGCAGAAAAGCTGATCTACCATCTTTCGTAATTTAGTGATTCTGGCATACCACTCTTCCTTTACTGTAAGAGTAACAAATATACACATTTCCTCGATTTGATGGCATTAATATACTATAATTATAAAATAGGCAGCACTTTTGTTTTTAACTAAAATTATTTCTAAGATTTCAGAATGTGCTAATTAAAACAGCGCTGACACTGAATAAAAGAACAAATGAAACTGACAAAATGGAGGTTTGTAATTTAAGAGTAATTTTACACAGGTACTCTAAAGTGTAACAACTGAAGGCAGGAAATACCACAATTCAGTTTACTCAAGAACAGCTAGCAGGTGATTTCTACAATGATAAATTTAGGCATATAAGACGGCTAGTAATCCTTCCAACGTACAAATTCTAAGTGATGCAACTTCCATTTCAGATATATACCCCACTCCACTCAAAATCAAAAGCAAGTAAGAGAGCAAATCACAATTATACTTCCTTCAAGTCACATCTAACAAACAAGTGATGAAAATGCTAGCTTTTTGCTTTAAGAAGTAAATCTTTTTACGTCCTGGGTATGATGATGAATGATTATTCAATTGAGTAATGCAGACTTGGGTAATAAATTATTCAGATAAAATCTGAATCTCAAAAGTAAAACAGACAGGCTTCTTTTAGTCTACTCAGAAATGTGATGTTGGCACTTATTTATAATGGGTTATTAAGAAGAAAATGAGTTATTCTTCTAGAAAATATTGGACAATATTTTGACAGTGTTTGTTTCTTATACATAATATTCTGATCTGACACACAATTTGACACAGACTGAAGTAGAGACCTACCTCCTGAAGCTGGTTTATCAAGTTGTAGGTCTTCGCGTGTTGAATTCAGAAGTTCGTGTCTGAAAGGTGAGAAAACGTACTAAATATTTACAGGTAATATTGAGTAAAAAAGTAGTAACTACTAGTACTTATTTAATATTCAATCAAGACCAGTTTAAAAAGAAAAGACAATCTGGACTCTTGAGTACGATTAAATCTCAATTTCTTGAGATTTCCAGAATAAAAATAAATGGTACCTACACATTGTTTCATAAGGTACTTCACAGAACATGTGTCCTCACAGAAATTAAATTAACTTGTAACCCAAAGGCATTTTATAAAAGTATAACACCAAAGGAAGTAAATAATAAAAACTTTAAATGGATCCTTTAATTTTACATTACATTGACTATCTTAACTTCAGCATATATAAATTGTTTATAACTACCCTAAATATATTTCAATACTAACATTTACAAGATAATACACTTGCTTTTTTATTTTTCAGAATATGTAAACAGCTTATAAAACATAATTTATAGATGACAATTTCCACAATCTAAATTCCATATCCTATATCACTCTATTTTGTTGTAATGGCCTAAAGTAATGGGGAAGAGGGGAGAGGAGGAAGAGATACCACAGAAAAGTATACCTAGATTAACAATAATCCAAGAAATGATGGAAACTAATACAAGATTAAGTCAATGGTGTATATAATATTTGACCAATATTAGTGAGTTGTGAAATAAAACATTTGCTCAACTCTACAGATAATCTACTAAATAAACAAAATAGTTTATGTTTAGCAAGCCTTACCACATTAATCTTTGGGGAAAGGCTTTAAAAAGTCCATAAAAAGATGGCTTCCCATAAATGAGTACTAGAAGGACTTGAAACCGGATATACATAGCATAAAGTACCTCTGATAAGCTTGCATAAACATTTAAACATCCAAATATAGTTTTATAAGCTTTAAAGTTAGCAAACATAAGCAAAACCTGAAAAATATTTTAGATTTATTTAAAATTTAAAACTTTTAACAAGTTAAAAAACAAAATGACAGTACAAGAGTCCTTAAAACAAGAAACTTATTAATATATCAATGTGAAGGGAGAAGGATGATTCTTGTATATGGTTCTAGGCTAGTGTTAGGGTTTTAGAACAAGATAGTATGTCTACAAATCGATTTCATGAGAGACTACTAAATCTTTAAACTACAATTTATTAGAAAGAAAAATAACTGTTAGCAATAAGCTCCCTCCCTGTGGAGGATAGTTCATCTATTATCTTGAGATATCCCTTGGGCTTTTTTTTCATCTCTACTTAAATCTTAAAAGCTCCTGTCATTATTTAATGCCAATACAAGCTGGCTTAGTTTTACTTTTTGATCAAGATGGTTGTTAATTTCTCCATTTTCTCAACAGTACCAGAGCATTATTAGAGTAACGAAGTTGAGCACCTTTCCAAACGATGTGACTATTATCCTACTAATGTATTCACTTTGTTTATAGCTTAAAGATGTTAGAAAAAAAAAAAACTGTATCAGTTGTAATATGCACATGACTCAAAAAACAAACAAACAAACAAACAAAACACCTCACCAATAGAAGGACTTAACATGAAAGCCATGTATTTCGAAAGAAGTGAACCATCCCCACTCCCTGGGAGATGAATACTGCTTAGTCTAAACCCATCATGTTATCTTTCCCATGCCCAGTTGAGGAATAAGCACTTGATACAATTCTAACTGGAGAATTACAGCTATGTTCCAAGGTTGACTTGCTCTCAAAAAAAACACAGGAAGCTACTGTGTCTCTCCTTCATAGATGTGTCTGGCAGTGAGGCCTAAAACTATTGTATCCAACTCAAGACCAGTCTAAGAAAACTATCAGCAAAAGGAAAGAAAAATGAGCAAAGCCCCATGTGCCACATTTTAACCATCCTATCTTTGACTTCCTTGCGAGGAGAGAGAAGCATCTTACCTTATAAAGCTAACTTGAATAAGGGTTTTTGTTACTCACTTCTGGAGACATCTTAACTGCTACCTTTCCTTTTTCAAGTCAGAAAATCTCTATGTGCTTTCATACATGTTTGGCAAGTCTGACTGGCTAGAGAATCTAAAGTTGAAATCATTTCCACCTAGAACGTGGAAAGAATTGCTTAATAGTGTTACATCATCCATTAATGCTCAAAGCAGGTTTATTATCAGTGTGATTTTCATTCTTTATGGATGACCTGATTTTACTCTCTAGAGTCTAATGATTTTTTTCCCCTATCCTCAGGGCACTGAAACTTTATGAAGTAGTTCATTTTTGATGCTCTCCCCTTTCTACTTTAAGTCAAATATCACTAGATGAAGACTCAATATTCTTTCTCATCTTTCATATATACAATCTTCTTTACAATTTATAAGACTAACAACTCTCTAGTCCTATCATTAAAATTTTTAGTTTAGTAATTGTATTTTATCATTTGAAGAAATAATTTCTAATTATTTCTTTTTATAAATATTCTAGTTCTTGTTCCATGGATGTAAAGTAATAGGAAATTTCCATATATTTGCATTGCTAAATCTGTTGATAAATACCTTCTTAGTTTTTTAAACCTTTTATTATAATCTTAATAGAATCTAAGAGAACAGAAAATGTGGCTGCCATTTTTAAATGGAAGCATTTACACTTTCAATTCCAATTGCTGCACTTTCTTTTAAACTATCCTTGCTATACTCTTTATGTCAATGTTAAAGAACAGCATTCCTACTATCTTAGTTTCTTCCCATTCTTACTTCTATTGTTCATTTATTTTTTACAATTTACATATATTTCCACATATGCTTTAAAAAATTCAGACCTAAAAACAAGACACTAACATCGTATTACTTATTTTCTTTAGCATGCTTGTCAGAAAATTAGAAAAGAAAATGATGGTTGTATGGCAATCAAGCATGAGCAGGAGTTCATGTTCCAAAAGCCAACTCTGGCATGACCAACAAAATCTTATACACAGATACATGGAGAAGTAAAAAATAAGATGACTTATAATAATTTAAACTTAATTGAAATATAGCCCTGGTAGTTAATAAATATTTGTCAACAATATGAAAAGATGTACTAATCAAGAACAAAGAAAAGAATCTAAGAGTCTTACTTCTTAATCACAAAACGAATCCTTTCCTTTGCAAGTAATATTCTCTCAAGGCGAGGAATTCCATAAGTAGATGGCCTTCTAAAAGGAATTCCTTCTGGAAGTCCTTCCACATATAGATCTTCAACATGTGACTGGAAAAGAGGGTATGGGATCGTCACAGGACCTTTGGCTTTTATAGCTTGAGCTTTAAGGGTAAGAACAGAAGAACAAACATCATTACATGACAAGGACTAAGCACAATTTGCAGAAAAGAATAATAGTTGAATATATATTGCTCTTAATATTCGTAATTTTTATAACTGCTTCTGTTAATTATAATTGAATCAGAGAAAAATAGTACAAAAGAACTAAAAGGAAACACCAAAGATGCTACTGCTCAATTTAACCAAATCCACAATGAACTAATATATGATTGTGAGGTAATGTACATATATAGTCAGACTTTCTACTGAAATCTAAATCACAAATGAACCCAGAAAAAATATACCAGTTAATATCAGCTAATACATACAATATGTAATGAGAGAGGCAGTATTTTTAAAACATTTAAAATGTTAGTGTAAAAAGGATATTTAAAAAAAAATAACAAACAGAAGATTTAACTATAAAAATTCGGTTAAGATTTATCTCCCCTAAAGTAAAATAATGTAACAATTGCAAAAATTTAAAAGCATAGGGAATGTTAGAATCAAATATAGTCGATAATACTGTAATGACTTTGTATGGTCATGGTGATCACTTCTTAAGGTATAAATGTCAAGTCATTATATACTGCATACCTGAAATTAATATAATAATGTATGTCAACTACATTTTAGTTTAACAAAAGAAATCAACTATAATGAGTAGATACTGATTTTATTAAACTATATAGGGTAGTTTTCCTAAACAATAGGGGACATTCAAATATCACTGGCTATTAAATATAATGTTTTTAGATGTGATAATGAAACTGAGATTAAGATAATGCCTTCTTTTTACCCAATTCCCCAACTGAAATACAGATTTCTGAGGGGTAAAATACCATCACATCAGAATTTTTAAATATTCTTGCATCAAAAAGAGATGGGACAAGAGAAGAAAGGAAATATTGTAAAATGTTAAAGTTGAACTTGGGTGATAGATACTTTGAGGGTTTTTGTATTCTTTTGTTTTTGTGTGGCAATTTTCATTATTAAAAGGTATTAAAAAGCATCAGTTGTGTTCAATTACAACATGGGAATATTTATAGTTTGTAGTAATAATTTCACAAGTAAAGCCTTTTGACACCAAGTAAAGCAATGCCAAATTCTCTATGACTGCAGACAAATACCACTATTCTTTTCAAAGGCTTCTAGTTCATTTAATTCACACAGTTACCAAAAATGCTTTCCAGTAAAAGGAAAGAACAGCAGAGGTACAACGAACACTGCCAAAAAGGTCCCAAAGCAAAAATGACTCCTATAGACTCCCCTCAACCCTTTCTCCCTTAGGAATTGCCATCAGAACAGCTCCACTTTTTGCTGGTATTTTATGTAAAAGTCTATTTGCTAAACATTAATATCTGTACTAAAGTTTCAAGTGTACTATATTATACATTAATGAATTAGATTTAACATCTTTTGTTAATATAATACATCTGAAAATTATATTCACATATAACAATGAAAATAGCTTCCCTTAAGGCAATCACCATTGACCATGTTATAGTGCTTTCCATGCAGAATACGTTATGAGTTTCTGCTTCGAAATGGACCAGTTAAGATCACTAGCAAAAGGCTCTGACTATTGAAAAGTAGGATAAATACTAAAAAAAAAAAAACTTAAGGAAATAACTGAAAATATTAAGGAAAAGTTATTGAACTCATTAAATTTACCCTAATTCTAAATCTTTGTTAAGGGATAGGATATCTATGATAAAGAGAGAAATGTTCATGTTAAGTTTATTAAAGTAAATAATGCCAGCATAGTTTATCATTTAAAAACTTCACTTAGAAAAATTCAGTGATGCAGGACAGCACTAGAGAAATTAGATTTTCAAGTTAAAATTTGGTATATTATAGAATTTTACAGTTGATTGCAAAAAATCGTCCAAATAACAACCCTCTTCCCCCAACAAAACAGATATTATTAAATGACTGCTATTTTTAGGTGACCATCAGATGATAACGAATTGCTTATTTCTTTGATCACTATATAAAGAACAGTGAAATAGAAGGGAAAGAATTTGATATTTAACTTAAACTCAGTTATGTATCATGAGAAAACAAGAGTACCTAAATGCATCTAGATTTAATATAACACATTAAGAAAGACTATTATTTAAGAAAGTAATGTTCATTAAATCTCCAAGATCTAGGATTTTGCAACAAATATATAAATAAACTCTCAAATATACATGCTGAAAGTTTAAAAGAAATGCTAATTGATAATTAAACAACAACAAAAAAAACATTTCCTAAGCTTTGTAGTAATCTAGAAACAAAGTTTCTAATATTTGGACAGATATTATCCAAGGACCTTTCACATGATAAATATGTAAGTAAGGTACAATTCACTGGCAGAACTGAACTTGTTCACATTAAATGTAAAGGAATTCCATTGTTGAAAAGCTTATGAACAAAAATATTACAAGAATTTTTGAGTTTAGACTTACCATATTTTCTTTCAAACAACTCTTCGACTTGTTTACGCAGATCAGTAATTCGAGCATTCCATTTCTCTGAAAATTGAGAGAAGTTAAATCTCAATAATAAATCCCTGTTTGGGGCACTAATAAGTTTTTATGATGATCCAATATCTAATGACTTATTTTCCACACAATATATCCTAATTTTTAATAATCTATCTCCATCTATATAATTTTACTGCTTTCCTGAGACCTTTGTCATTTTTAGTGGTTCTTAGAATTGGTTCAATATGAGATTACAGGGGATGTTTTAAAATTTATTTTTGAAAAACTTCATATCACTTTTAGTCCTGTAATTTCTGAAAAGCGGGAGGGCAGGAAAGTCCAGTATGATAGAGCACTACAAAATGGAGGCAAAAAGGGAGCATTTGAGATCTTGCTCCCAAACATGTTATAAACTTGGCTCAAATAAACTCGTAAAAATTCTTTACAGGTTTGGACAGTTCTTATGTGGACTGGAGAATTAGACAACTAGAATCTGTAGAGCTGATGGAAAGATGAGAACTACTCAGAGAGAAAGATCTCCAAATCTACAGAGGGGCACCTTTGAGTTTTTGCATTCTTTCCAGACTACTCTCATCTTTGTTCCTGGGTTGCTAATGCCACCAGAGGACCACGCTGCCAGAGGAGTGGCTCCGTGAAGTACAACAGACTGCCCTAGAACTCTCCGGTAGCCCCTGGAGTGAGTAATGCCTAGATTTTCCCTTAAATACCCTAAAATAGACTGAGAAGGCAAAGTAGTTTTGAAGGTGTTAATCTGCTGCCTTCTCAGATCACTGGTGCTCTGACAATAAATGATTATTTTCAATATTGCCCCCCACCACCAAAAAAAAAAAAATACAGAGGCAAAAAAAGAAGGAATCTCTAAGATCATTCAGGAAAATTTCTAAAATATGTTTAAGTTATACAGAAATAAGACTTTATACATAGTTGCAACGTATAATCAAGTGTTGAAGAATTTATGTACATGTAAACTTGCTATATAAATTCAATTTATATCCAGTCTGTGACAATGACAAATTAAAATATTAAAGTGTTATTTTAAAAAATATAAATGTTAAATGTTCTATCTATTCATAATAAAGATCACAAACACAATTTATCATTAATATTTAGTCCCCTCAAAAGACTACATCATCCTCTGGGTTTGGTTAGATTAACTGATGGCAGTTACAAAGAAAAAGAAAAATCAAGATACGAAATTTATCATAAATAAAGGTTTTAAAGCTAAGAAAAATAACTGAATTACCAAGTCATTAACACTGATTTAAAGTCTACTAATTATAATTAATAATACAATGTCTTTTGCTCTGGTAAACCCAAACTATGTTTAAACTATGTCTGTAAAGTTACTTCCCTCAGATTAGAATATAAAGCAATAATACATTTTAAAGCATCCCTTTAAAGAATGATGTAACTTTTATCAGTAACATAAAGAGTTCAGAATCAAAAAAGGCCTGCATTTAGTCAAGAACTCACCAAAGTTGAACTCTCTCACTTTCCGTTTTCCGGCATTGGCGGGTTCTGTGACTGGTGGCTGGGGTGGCTCATTGCTCTTTGGTCTCTTAGTAGGTGGAGAATAATCATCATCTTGAAAAAGAAAACTGTCATCACTGGAGGAACAAACTAAATAAGTTATAGCCACCACCTGTTAAGTTCTCAATATTTAAAAGATGCGGGGGCTTTAAAATTGTTTGGAATATCAATCATTTCTGTAGTCATTTTCGGCATAGTTTTCCTACTATTTTGGGGTATGCTCAAGTGGATATTCCTCATTTTCCCTGTCTTATTTCACTTTTTTTTTTTTTTTACTTCATTTAACTTGAACAAAGTCATAAATTTCCTCCTCTCCTCCCGTAACTCCTGAGATGGCTGCATAGAATTATAGTCTAATTTAAGTCTTTCAAGAAAAAGGTTTTAATGGAGACAGCTACATAAATATATGCGAATATGTAGCTTGAATGACAAAAAAAATTTAAGCTTATATAAAATCCAAGCATACATAAGCAAGGAAGGTTGGATAACTGAATGCCAAACACTTTTTACAAACATGGAATTTACAGAATTAAAAAAATAGATCTGCAATATTTGTGAAACAGGTAATGTTGATTCAGTCAATACAAAAACCTATGTAGAAACAGGCAATCAGATATTTAAGCACAGAATACAGACTTCTCAAGACATCTGTAGTAAGAGTTCATGCTAATCTCTTCATGGATATGTCTGCAATTCAAATCTGCTATACTTTCATATATCTAATGCTAAAATTAAGGACATTTGGCTCAAATAAGATTATCACTTATACTCCCTGAAAATGTCAAGTGGCACACTACTAAGACGTCTGCTCAAACACCATGTGTAAATTATTGAAAATATCATTTAAAGATGTCTGTACTTAAAAATATGAGGTAGAGAACAAAATTACTATTAAAGACACAGCAATAACAAAAAGATAACATTTAAATACAAGTTACCTTTTCAGATCAGTATTATTTTCATTCTCATTTTATAGCTAAAGAAACAGGCTCAGAGAATGTTATGTGACTTAACCATGTTACATTACTAGTTAGTGCAGTTAAGATTAGATTAAGGGCAT